CGCGTCGAGACCGTGTCCTGATGTGATCTGCACGGTTGAGTCACGTCGGCGTCAAAGGAGCGACGTGCGACCTGTCAGAGCTTGATCTCCGATCTCAGCTGCCTTCTGCGCGTCCTGGGGAGGTACAATAGTGTCGCGCGCCGGAGACGACTCGACGCCGCTGAGATCGGAGATCAAGCTCTGACAGGTCGCACGTCGCTCCTTTGACGCCGACGTGACTCAACCGTGCAGATCACATCAGGACACGGTCTCGACGCGCTCGGTACGACGCCTGCGACCCGTCTTGGGTCAGGTGGCACGACGCTCATCGCGCCTGCCAGCGCTGCCGTGCAGGTTGCCACGACGAGGTCGAGCACGCTTCTATACGCTCGCCCAGCCTTCCTTTCCATCCCATTAGGCAGCCTGGGAACGGTGGCGGTCAGAGGCAAAGCCTGCGAGGGGTGGTGGAACCACATGTCACGGCCACCGCCGGCTCGACGCGACGATAGCCTCTGGAGGCTGACTTTGAGGCACCATCATCGGACGATGTCGACGAGTTGGGTCGCTCTCGCGGTAGCCAGGTAGCCCCCCATACTAGTAGCACCGGCCATGGCCGCAGGAAGCTCGGGGGAGGGCGCTGGGAGCAACACGGAGCTCCGTTGGACGCGTTTTCAAGATTAGCGTGTCAGAGTGAATTGGAACTAGCCCAGCGGCAAGCCGCTGGCTCGACGAGCAGCACTCGCTCGGCCGCCGCCTTGGCCCGGCCGCCGCTGTCGCGGCTGTCGGGCTCCGCGACAGCCGTCGACCACCGCCATTGATGCGGAAGGTGGCAGATCAAGACGTGCTCCTCGTCAAAGCACGGCGTCGCAACGACCTCGAGGTGCTGCTGCTAACAGCGCCCGTGCGTGCGCTCTACAAGACGCCAATGATGCAGTTCTACAGGGAGTGCAGCTCGATCGCCCTCTGAGCTCTGTCTGGCCCTCGTGGCCACCATGCCAAAGCGGCTTGCGTGCCTAAAGTCACACTTTGAGCACGATCAAGAGCTGCTCTCGGGCCAGCAGGCGGTCCTTGAGGCGCCCGATGCAACTGCTGCCGAGTGTGCCGCTCGAGTGCTCCAGCCGTTTATAGTCGGCTCCTACAACCGCCTTGGCGAGCTGCTCGAAGATTGCGCTCTCAGCGACAACGACCCTGCACGGGAGGCGGCCATCCTCTTCTATCGGCGCTGCCTCACGCTAAGCCAGCACTGGGAGTTGCATCACCAGTGTCGTGTTGCTATGTGCAATCTCGGTGTCGCGCTCAAGCGAGCTGGTTTGTTGCGCGCTGCGCTGAAGATGTACAACGCGGCTGGTACAATGATGCCGACGCCCAGCAACAACCACATCACCCCGGGAGATGGCGCGACCCCCCGACGCCCTGTCCCTGCCAGCGGGCGCGCTCTAGATTGGCTCTCTGACCCGCTCCCCCCTCCCCAGCGTCGGGTCCCCGCTCCCCGGCCCGCCCGGCTTGAGTCGGTAAGCAAGAACATCAACAATCCGTATCCCATATCCTGGCCCGTTGCCGTTCTTCGTGCGCCACTCAATACTCGAACCGGCGCAGCCGAGCAGCAGAGGTTCGGTTCGCCCCCATTGGGTCAGGTGTTGGAATTAATGCCTACTACTAGCATGTTCGCCCCGAGCCCGACGAGCGTGAGCGCCAGGAAGAAGACCGCTGCTCCCCACTGAGGGCCGACGAGGCCGACGGTTGCCGAGTAGGCCACGCCGCAGGCAAGCGGGCCGAGGGCGAGTCCGGTGCTAGAGCAGGACTGGTTCACTCCGAGGGCGAGGCCTTGCACGGCCGGCGGTACGCAGCCCTTGGAGAGCATCGTGACGGCGGTGAAGGCGAAGGACTTGCTCGCCATGTTCATGCAGCAGCACACGACGAGGACGGCGACGGGGAGGAGCGGCGGCGCAGCGGCCCACCAGCCGAGGAGCAACGCGATGAGTGGCGGGCCGGCCGAGTTCAGCGCGTTGAGCGCATAGCCGAGGTGCAGCACGTAGGCTCCACCAAAGCGGCCGAGTAGGAAGCCGGTGGAGACGGAGGTGAGCAACAGCGAGAAGCCTCCAACGGCGGTGAGCACGCCGATGGAGGAGGCGGAGAGGCCGAGACCGCCGCCCGAGACGGGCGTGGCGAGCCACACGGGCAGCGTCTCGACGTACCTGCACACGCGAAACGCACAAGTATAAAAGGTTGCGCTGCATGCGCGAGCGTCCGGGGCGACGGTTGCGCGCCCGGCCGTGGTCGCGCAGAAGATCATCACCGAGAGCTGCAGGCGGACAAAGGTTGTCGTCAACAGCGTTGGCGCCTCGCCCTCCTCCGTGCCTCTCTCCGCCGACATCCGCGGGGTGACTGACCCTTCCACGCTTGCGGGCATCTCCCTTTCGCTGCGCCCACTTCCGCTGAGAGACCACCAGCTTCCACCGCTGCCAGCTGAACTGCCGCCGCCACCACTAATCCGTGACAGACGGTAGACGCTCCCACCGCTACTAACTGAGCTGCCGCCACTAATCCGTGAAACGACCTCAGCCACCACGACATTCACCGAAGTGCGCACGCCGACGTCGCCGCCCACTAGCGGATCGACGAGGACGACCGACGGACGACACGTCGCGAGCTCGGCCGCGACGCCGGCCACTTGCGAGTCGCGGCTCGGTGTGCGCCGGTCGAGCCCGAGGAGAGGGCGGGCGTTAGAGGGCGCGGCGCCCTTGCCGAGCCTCGGGTGGGTCTCCGGCAGGAGAAGGAGCGAGCCTGCCAGCCCCACCATTGAAAAGGCAAATGTCGCTGCGCACGGAAGCAGATACGGGTGCGCCTCGAGCAGTGCCACCCCGCCGAAAAGGGCCGGGTACTGTGCGCTCGGCTGCGCCAGCACGCCTCCGATGGTCGGCCCGAGCATGTAGCCGAAGGCGAAGGAGAGGCCGATCATACCAAACACCTGAGCCTCAGTCGCAGGGGTGGTCACGTCGAACAAAACAATCTTTCCGACGATGACAGCACCAGAGAAGAACCCTTGCGCCGACCGCATCCCAAGCGAGATTGCGTAGGAGCTCGACATAGCAAAGCCCAGGATGCACAGCCCGCTAAGCATCAGGCACACGAGCAGCACCGGCTTGCGCCCGAGACGGTCGGCGGCGGTGCCGTACAGCGGTGCGCCGAGAAACTGCCCGGCATTGTAGGCCGCGGCGGCAAACCCAGCTAGACTACCAAGCTTGGGGTCGTCCGGAGCGAGCTCCAGCTGGTCTCGGATCATGAACGGCAGGAAGGGAAAGACGACGAGCTGGTTGAGTGCGTCGCACATGATGACAAAAAGCATCGTGAAGACGACAGGCCAGTTCACTGCTTCCGGTGCCATGGCATCAAGGTGCTCACGGGCGACGGCTTATCTGTCACACGGCCAAAGGCCCCCCGGGCAGTAGACCAACGAGACGGTTATGGGGAACAGTATCTAAAATTCTTTTTGTTGTTGTTTTTAGAATTCTTTTTGTTGTGACTGCCCAGCGGTGTCTTGAGCCTATTGTGTCTGTGCGTCGCTCCAGTGTGACCGCCCTCCAATTGCGCTTCGTCCACCCTAGCGTCTAGGAATCAGACAGACAACACGGCGAATCAACGGCCTCACCCATACATATCTTACCCCTTCCCCCCCCCCCCCCCCCCTGCGACCCCCCAGGCTAGATGGAGTAGTCACAGATAAGCCGGATGAAGATTCTGCCCCACACAGCCCCTTACCCCTTCACCCTCGCCTCGCTGCTTGGTGTTTCTGAACACGTAGACGACCACGCTGTGGGGGTTGTGCGGGTTGTGTCTGGGAGGGAGGGAGTGGGGTGCAGGTTGCTCACCCACGGCACCGGGCCGGTGCTTGCACTTTGAATGCCGTGGGGCTCCTGCCCGTGTCCCGGGCGTGGAGATGCGAGGGTCGCCCCCCCTTGCCCCACCACTTTGTGTGTGTGGAGACGTTTACCTTACCTTACCTTACCTCAACGGGAGGATGTCCTTCCTAGTTCCTTCCATCCACACATTTCGGCATTTGGATTTGCCCGAGGATCTTACTCTTTTCAGCAAAAGCCGCATATCACTCATAAGGTATTAGGTTCTCGAGGTTGATTTCCTTTGGCCGCGCTGGAGGTAGCGGAGGACTGGTGTACGGCTCTAACGCGGTCCACGCAGATGTAATACAAAATACAATGTGTACGACGTATGTCCAAAACACACTCCGGGCCTCTCTCGTCGTCGTCACGCGGCACACAACCCGCCGTACGCCGTTTCGCACCGCGCACTGACAAGCGCGCCCCGCTACAACCCGAGCCGATCCAGCAACGTAGTGTGGTGGTGGGGTGGCGGGCGGCGGGCGCCGGGCGCGCTCTACTGCGCGTCGGACGGGAAGGGCTGGCGGACGAGGCGGCGGTACTCCTCTGCGTCGATCCGCCCGTCGCCGTCGCTGTCTCCGACGAGCATCATGCGCTGCACGAGCCGCTCGACCTCGTCGCGCGTGTGCGCGCCGCCCGCGCGCTTCTTCAGCTCGAGCACCGCGCGCGTGAGCTCGTCCGGCGTGAGGAAGCCGTCCCCGTCCTCGTCCATCAGGTCGAAGGCTCGCCGGCTCAGCAGCAGCTCGGACGAGTCTGGCGGCGCGAGCCCGCCAAAGCCGCCGAGCGAGCGCCACGCGTGGAGCGCCTATTGATCGACCCGCCAGCAAGTCATACACCTTGACCCTACTCAGCAGCCGAGCGAGTGCCACGCGGCGTGGAGCGCGTCGTCGATCGCGCGTGGCAGCCTCCGCTGCGGCGGCGCGCGGCCGAGCAGCTCGGCGTACACGGCGAGCCGCGTCTGCAGCCGCGACGGGCCGCGCCGCTCGTAGAGCGCCCTTTGCAGCAGCAGGATGGAGCAGCCGGCGAAGCCGATCGCGTGCGTGGTCATGGCGGCGCGGTCGCCGGCGAGGAAGCGCGCCGTCGTCCAGACGCGGAGCAGGGAGCCCGCCCACCTGGCCCGCTGGCCGAGGCTAGTCTCTCGGCTAAACCTCGGCCCGATCGTGGCTGTCTCTCGGCTGTCTCTCGGCTGCCCGATCGTCGCTGTCTCTCGGCTGTCTCCCGGCTGGTATCTCGGCTGCGTTGTCTCTCGGCTGCCTCTCAGTTGTCTCTCGGCTGCCTCTCGGCTGTCTCTCGGCTGTCTCTCGGCTGCCCGATCGTCGCTGTCTCTCGGCTGTCTCCCGGCTGGTATCTCGGCTGCGTTGTCTCTCGGCTGCCTCTCAGTTGTCTCTCGGCTGCCTCTCGGCTGTCTCTCGGCTGTCTCTCGACCGCAGCACGAGGGCGCGCGCGCGGTTGGCGGAGGGGGACGAGCCCCTCCGGAAGGCCTCGACGATTTGGACGCCGTACCTGGGACGGTGTCGGCGCGCGGGGCTGTGAGGGCTGCTGAATGCGACGTGGAATTGCGACCGGAATACAGCGAATGCGTCACGCTCGCCTCGAGCGCCGGCGTGAAACACGGGCACATGCACATGCACACGCACATGTGCATGTGCATGTGCATGTGCATGCACATGTGCAGAGATGTTCATGTGCATGTGCATGCTGCATGTGCATGTGCGTGTGTGTGTGTCCCAATCCCGCATCTAGGTGCCGTGCGAGCTGATGCAGAGCGGCGCGCTCCACAGGCAGAGGAGCGGGAGCAGGCGCGGAGGCAGGCGGAACATCGCCAGAGTCGCCAGGAGGAGCAGGCCGATGTCGAGCGAGAACTTGATGTTGAAGCTCAGCCGGCGCGCCCACGCCGGGCGAGACCAGCACTTTGCGCCGACCGGTTTGGGCGCGCCCTCATCCACGTCTCCTGTCGCCAGTCGCTTGGGCGTGGATAGGGGTCCGATCCATCTCGGAATAAGGTTGCTCACTACTACTACTCCTCCGGACCGTGCTCCGGCTCGTTGGCCCTGCTCCGCCGCACGATCACAAAGCAGAGGAGGTTTTGGAGCATCAGCGGGACCAGCTCGGACCAGCACGCGATCGGAAAGTCGCGCTGGAGGTGGTAGACGATGCGAGAGAGGTAGACGAGGGCGTCGCCGTAAAAGACGCGCGCTCCCCACTTGGAGGCCACCTGCAGCAGGCACGGCCAGGAAGGTGATTCGGCATTCAGAGTGCAAGGCGCCGCAGTGGGTGAGCGGAGCCTCGTTCGGGCTCCGCTTTGAGAGCAGGTTGACGATCTGCGGGACCGAAGACGAGGACCGCGAGGCCAGCACGGCCACTGCGGCGGGAGCGGCGCAGGCGATCGACTCGAGACGGAACTGGACGGCCGAGACGGCAGGCTCCAGCGCGCTGAGGACTGGCGCAGCAGCCTCGAGCGCCATCCGTGGCCGCACGCCGTAGCGGGACGGCAACGGAGCGGCAACGCCGCTAGAGATGGCGGCGAACGTGAGCATCGGCGGAAGCTCAAGGGAGCGCGGTGAAGGCAGCCAAATGCCGTGCCGGAGAGGTGCCCACAGAAAAAGAAAACTAAGCCGAGAGCGAGCGAGCGAGCGAGCGAGCGAGCGAGAGAGAGAGAGAGAGAGAGAGAGAGAGAGAGAGAGAGAGAGAGAGAGAGAGAGAGAGAGAGAGAGAGAGAGAGAGAGAGAGAGAGAGAGAGAGAGAGAGAGAGAGAGAGAGAGAGAGAGAGTGAGTGAGTGAGTGAGCGAGGGGTATGGTTCTTGCACTTGTGCAAGATTGGGCGTCTTCTGCCGCAGTCCCTTTGATGGGAGGCCCAGGGTGGGGGCCACCTCGAACCCCCGGCCAGGGATTCGAGCGGAGGGTGCCCCGGATTCATCTATCCGTTGGGCCCCGGTACATTCATTAGAACTGATCACTTTGCGCAGCAGCCGTCCCTTCGCCGACTGGACGGCAGTGCGCTGCGTTGTCGCTCTGTCGTGCACGCTCTCGTGCCTCGTTGTTGTGACACGGGAGTAGAGTCGAGAGGTAGCCCTCGACGAGACGACCGGCGCTGCGATGCCAGACCTCACTGCCGCCGAGCTCAGCATTCCGGCCGAGCAGCACCCCGATCCCGCAAAGCCACTGGTGATACCCGTCGACTCAACAGTGGTGGGCTCTACCCTGCGCTTCATTCCGTGGTCTGTGGTGGGCAATCCGGCCTTCCTCCAGCTGCCCCCTCCTCCTCCGGGGATGCAACCGTCGTGGGTCCAGATTCCGCAGTGGGTCGCCATCAGTGCGCTGCTCCCCTTCAGTGAGCCCGAGCCCGCTGTGGCCACCCACTTTGACAGGCTCAGCGTCTTGCGGCTGGCCGTATTGGCCGCGGCTTGGCGCCGCATCCTCGGCGCCTTGTCCGACCTCGGCGTTTTCAGCACGGTGCACGTGGATGAGGATGCGTTCCGTACGGTGTGCATCCAGGCTCTGCACTCCCGCCAAATCCCGGTGCCCGAGCTCTATCTGCAGTGGGGCGATTTGGGGTACTCGGAGGCGATCACACCCTTGGGACCAGCGCCATCTGCAGAAGCAACTAGTGCCGCCCGCGCCTGGCGCGACCGCCTTCAAGCGCGGGCGGCCCGTGACTTTGCTCCATCAAACGGGACAAGGCAAAAACACAGTTGCACAGATACATGCCGGCGGCGCGACTCCCCCCCGCAGATCGTCCTCAGTGGGGGAGACCGCGACACCGGTGACGGAGCGCAGTTGGGAGTGTCTTCGGCTCACGCCAGGGCGCTCGTTGCTCCTCCGTCTCTTTGTATCTTCCATACTGCATTTGTCAGAAGACGTATGGTTCTTGCACTTGTGCAAGATTGGGCGTCTTCTGCCGCAGTCCCTTTGATGGGAGGCCCAGGGTGGGGGCCACCTCGAACCCCCGGCCAGGGATTCGAGCGGAGGGTGCCCCGGAATCATCTATCCGTTGGGCCCCGGTACATTCATTAGAACTGATCACTTTGCGCAGCAGCCGTCCCTTCGCCGACTGGACGGCAGTGCGCTGCGTTGTCGCTCTGTCGTGCACGCTCTCGTGCCTCGTTGTTGTGACCCACCCTGTCCCACCCGTGTGTGATCAGTGTCTACGGAGGGAGTGTCTTCGGCTCACGCCAGGGCGCTCGTTGCTCCTCCGTCTCTTTGTATCTTCCATACTGCATTTGTCAGAAGACAGCGAGAGAGAGAGAGAGAGAGAGAGAGAGAGAGAGAGAGAGAGAGAGAGAGAGAGAGAGAGAGAGAGAGAGAGAGAGAGAGAGAGAGAGAGAGAGAGAGAGAGAGAGAGAGGAGCAAACCCCGACACAGTGAGTGACTGAGTGAGTATTCTTGATACGAAACCACACACACACACTCACTCACCCCGACCGACACAGACACCCTTCGGGTCGCTCCTCATCGCAAACCCCGTCAGCAGGCGGGGAAAAGAAAGAAA